CCAGATGGAAGGTTTGATATAGGGTTTTTCCAAAGCTTTCCATTGGTTAGCGGTGGGTAGCTGAGCCTACCATCCTCCGCTGGAGCAGCCTGTAGGCCAAGGGGTACCATCTCCTTCTGAGGCCCGTTGCTTTTTCTCCATGGAGTAGCAAGGTTTTTCCTGGGTTCTGAAGCCATGCCAAATTAGCGAGGCAACAACAGGGGCAGCTGAGGACCTGGAGACAGATTTTGCTGCCGCATCAGACAACCTATTCCCTTCCAATACCTCACCTGTTCCTCTTTGGTGCCTCTTGCAGTGTCTCACTGCTACCTCTCCTGGTGAGGTACGACCTGTAGGAACCAGCTGATTTCTTGATTTTATTTAAGGGGGGAACCAGAGGCAGCTAAGAAATGCCTCTCTTTCCAGATAGTGTCATGGCATGCAAAACCAGGAAGGAGTATTTGGAGTCAGTTTAGATGTTTACCCTTGTGTTTCTACGCACTCCAAAGCTGTGTTGAGGGCTGTTAGTTTAGTCAATTGGGCGTTTGATCCAGATAGGAAGGGATTGCTTTGTATTGTTTTGCGTAAAGTGGCAAAGCAACCATGGAGTACCTAGCCTTTCAGGTGCCGTGCTCAACAAATTAGCTTCTGTTGGTGAATAGGGTCCACTCTGGATAGGGTCTACAGTGGGATTTCCTGGAGGTTCTCCCGAGCAGCATAGGTTGGAGCTACAATTTGTTGAGTCGTGTGCTGGCTCTGTACCCTCCTCCCGATGGTGGAGTTTGAAGTGGAGCAAGTTTTTATTTGCATGAGTGAACCTTCCAGTAAGAGTGCCTATACTGCAGAAGGCGGCTCTCCGTGAGCCAGTGGTCACTATCAGTTAATAGGACACCTTGAATATTATGGGGGATGTATACAGTAAGATCCTGTCCCAAAGTTAATTTTGTAGCCTTGGGATTAAAAGAGCAGAGGTGGCCACAAGCCACCAGGTCTTGCTTTTTGCTGGCTGTGCAGTCAGCTCCTAGCCTGGGTTAGAATGCCCAAGACCATTCCCTTCTTTTCAGTCACATCTAAATTGTAAGATCTCTCTGTAGAAAAGCTCGGGGACACTGAGCAATGCATCTATGAGTTTTTTTCCAAAGCCCTTTCTGACTCTGGGCTCCATATTAATAAGCAGGTTCCAGCTGCCTGCATGTCCTTGATCAACTGGTAAAGAGGTCGTGCTATTTCCCCATATCCTGGTATCCATAAGTGACAATACCCGGTTATGCCCCCAAAACCTTTCAACTGCTTAAGGGTTTGGGGAGAGAGGCAATGGGCCATATCCTATCCTCTCCTGGTCTCCTTGTTCCCTCCGAAGGAACTAGACCCAGATATTAGACAAATGTCTCACATAATTGATCCTCAGGTTGAGAGACCTTATACCCCCTTGTATCCAGAAAATGTAGAATTTTTGGGTGTCAGCTTGTATGATCAGCTCAGAAGGGAGCACATAGCAGGAGACTACCCCCATATTGTCTGCAACTGAAAATTCTGAGATGTCAGGACAGGGCCTGTCCACATAAATGCAGACTATCCCGGAATCGTTAAGTAAAACTGTCCATGTTAACTGGGTGGTTGGATTCATGGAGTCCTCAAATGTAAACAGAAACAGAGTCCACATAAAGGGGAATACAAAAGAAGGCATATTTTAAGCCTAGGACTACAAGCCAGCTTTTACCTGAGGGAATTTGAGCCGAGGGTGCAAGGGTTGGGGAATGCACGATGAATGGGGATCACAGCCTCATTCATAATGCAGAGCTCTTGTACCAATCTCACTCCCCATTGGATGTTTGTACCACCCCCCCCCAAACTGGGGTGTTACATGGACTGCTGCATTCTTTTAAGAGGCCCTGCTGCTTTAGATTATTTTTAATTTTTATCAGGCCCTCCTTTGCTTCTGGTCTTAGTGGGTAGTGTTTCTGATAGGGGAAGATTGTCAGGTCTTTAGGGTGTATGTGAACAGGCACCTCAGTTAAGACTGGACCCAATTCTCCCTGAATTGCCCACACCTAGAGATTAACATCAGTCTATGTTAAGGGGAGGCAGTGGCTAGTCTGTCCAGGGGCCATTAATATGGGAGTTCCCAATATCTCTTACTAAGAGGTGTGAAGCTCTCAGGCATTATTCAGAAGGAGTGAGAGAAAATTAGCTCTCCTCAGGTGAATCCCAGCAGGAGAGAAAAAAAAATCTGGTTATGGGCTGTCCAATGATGCCCTTACAAACAATGCTGAGGGGAGAGTTGTCCCAGGGCAGAGAGTAGGACAGAAAAGGTGAAACAAAATTGACTGGCTTTTCCTCTATCTCTAGAATTACCTGAGGTTCTGGGTTCACAATGGCAAGTTATTCTGGGAGAGCCACCAGGAAGAGCCCTGGGTTCCATCAGACCCTGTCAGGCGTGCTGGTTGTCTGAGCCTCATAGATTGAGATCCTCGAGGGTATTCAGATTTCCAGGGCCCTGGATGGCCACAGAGGTGGCATCCGGTACCAGTGTCTCCGGGGACTGCGTTGGTAATGGCTCATAAGGGCGCAATGAGGGCCTGTACTACTTTCTTAGCCTCTTTCTTGTTCCTTACTCCCCTCTGGGCCCTAGTTGTTAGACACCTGGTTAGCAGCTCAAGGAGCTCTTCGAGGTCCCCTCAGGGCCACAGCCAACTTTTACAGCTTTTTCTGAATATCTGGGGCTGATTGGGTCACAAATTTGTCTTTGAAAAAAATCTTAGCCTCAGAAGAATGGAGGGAGATAGATTCTATCAACCTCCTTAAGAAGGCTGTCAGGTTTTTCTCTTGAGTTTGGGTAACAATAGACAGCTTGGCATAATTTAGAGGTTTATCCTTTGACCTCTTAAATTTGTCTAGGCCACAGGCCTGGAAGTGACCAAGGTACCAATTTCTGAGGGGATCGTCAGGGTCCCAACTGGGTTCTTAGGCAGGGACAACTTGGGCTCCAGTTGGTAACTGGAAGTCCCTCAGGGGCCCACCTGTGTCCTTATGATTAATTAGCTGTTCCTCCCCAAATCTGTCAGCAGTGGCCAGGACTCTATGCCTCTCTGCCTCAAAGAGATCTTGATTTCACAGGAACATTACATCCTTCCAGGTTAATTCAAACACATAAGTGAGATTTTGGAAGGCTTCTATAAATTTATCTGGGTTTTTGGAAATTCCCAAGGTCCCCTTTGTCTCTGGGCTTGGAACAAAAAGGACACCTGCTCCTGGGGCAAAGCAGGACCTCCCCTTGGTCCTCTTCCAGGTACTACATTTTCTTGAAAGAAAGAGAGCCTCCAAGCATCAGTACAGGGTTCAGGATAGGTCAGGGGACCTTATCTTAAATCTGGATCAAGTGATTGAGACCTTAGGGAAGACTGAGCTGGGGTGGAAAATCCTCTGCAGACTACATATGCTTGTCTCCCTTTGGAGTGGGGGTGGTATCCTCTGTTCCTTTACCCCTAAGGTCCAGCCATGAGAGAGAGCAGCCAGCAGGCTTCGCCAATACTGCTTTGCTGACACATGCCCTTATTTTCCTTTAAGGCCCAGAAACATTGTCCAGAGGGCACTTCTCCCCATTTTCCCTGACGTTTGCCAAACAAGTGCAATTGTAGAAGGGTATTATAATCAATACTTCCCTCAGGCCGCCATGTCCCCTCCTCCAGTTTCTATTGTGCCATGCCTTGGAACAAAAGAGAATAAGTCGCCTTTTGTTTCAGGTTTGCAGGTCAAACTGTTCCAGTTATTCAGGAAGCATCCCAAGGAGTACTGGTTTTGGTCAGGGACTTGCAAATGCCCATCTACAGCAGAGAGGAGAAGGCATCCCTTGCCTCAGCTCTTCATGGCTAATCAGGAGGACTTCTTCCTGATGCAATGTCCTGGCTGTCCATGCAACTAGCAGCCCGGGCTGCGGTTGCTTCTGCCCAGGCTTGACCCTACTCCAGGAAGTGACCCCACTTTTCCTGACTCTTATTACCTCTGGGTTTCCCAGCCACAGGATTCAAAGGCTACAGGCTGTGACCCAGGAAGACTCCATTAGCGGTGGATGGATGTGCCAGACTTCTGGCCCATTGAGAGTTGGCATGACGGGCATAAGACCATTGTTCTGTTGACAAACCCATTTTAAGAGGTTAACAAAGGCCAATTTCTGGAAGGACAGAGCAGGCCACCAGGGAAGGGATAAACTGCCAGGGTGGATGCCTGTTGCCCTTCCCTTCTCAGCAATACCTACCCCGATGCATTCCAGCCAGACGGGGGTCCATTTTAGGATGGTCATAGTTGAGCAAAGGGGCGGGCCCCTTGCCAAGTGTAACAAAATGGTCCCATGTATTCTGACGGTAGTCCCTCATGGATGTCAAGCAAGCTTGATCCATAAGGTGCAGGGATATAGCATTCTGTCACACAAAAAGAGCAAACATGTTTAGTGGCTGGAAGGCAGCAGGTCAACACTGCCAGCGCGACCCCAATGAGGGGATTAAGGGTGTGTGTGTGTGGGGGGGTGCTATTTCTAACATATTCTGGGCCTGATCCCCGGGGACGCCACCTGCCCTGCCCTCCTAGTCAGCCTAGATGCTCTCTCTACCTGATCGGGTAACAGGTGAAGGAGTAGGACTCAGATGCCACCAGACAGGAAGGCAGAGGCAGAAAGCCATTCCTCACCATATCAGGGTACTGGGAGTGAACTGGGAGTGAACTGGGCATACGATCCCTTGGGGGCCTTTCCTAGCTTTGTGTATCCCTTCCCTTAGAGAAGGGGTCAGTGGGAACTATCACCAAAGACTTGAGAGCAGCAGCCCCGCTATTCCGCTGAGTGCCCATCATGTTGAGGACTGTAACAGAGGGAGGGACTTGCCCACTACTCAGATGCCCATGGTGACCACCAGAGATCCCAGAGGAGCCCCCAAGAAAATGGTTCAGTATTTTTGAATCTGTTTTCTGGTGCCCGCCATCTGTGGTCACACCGCTAGGAGGAATGAAGAGGCAGACCAGACAAAGACTGGAAGGCAGCAAAGCAAACTTTTAAGAGGATAGAATCAGCTCTCCACACTGAGAGGCGGATGCGAGAATACCCTCCCACCGCTCAGCCATGAGATTCCCTTTTATGCAGTTTAGGCTGTGGCTGTTGCAGCACAGATCCTACAGGATTTCTTCCTGTCTGATATGCTGGAAGTTCCCAGCCCAGCTTTCTTGGGCTGTTTTTCTGAGAGGCCGCCAAGAGTGCTAGGGATCTAACTAACCCTGAGGCCTCAGGTCTTGCTGTAGCCCAGTAACAGGATGCCAAGTTTGTGTCCCAGATGGACATTTGATCCTGCAGAGAAATCAAGAATACCCAAATTTTGCTCTCGTGGGTTCAGTAAAGCAAGTCTTTTTTCTTCCAAAGACTTCAGTTTAGGGACTCTCGGGTCAAGTGACAGATTCACAAATACCTTAGGCAACCTCTTCTTTTTTGCAGGTCAGTATTTAAACCTTGCTATGCCAACAATGGCTTAAAGGCACAGCTCTTTTGGTTCATTAAGTGGGTGGCTCTGAAAAGAGCCTTTTGGCTTGGGCAGGTGGAAACTCTGCCAGATCTACTTGCCCTTGGCCTTGTGGTGGCTCTCGGTCTTCTTGGGCAGCAGCACGGCCTGGATGTTGGGCAGGACGCCGCCCTGCGCGATGGTCACGCGGCCCAGCAGCTTGTTGAGCTCCTCGTCGTTGCGGATGGCCAGCTGCAGGTGGCGCGGGATGATGCGCGTCTTCTTGTTGTCGCGGGCCGCGTTGCCCGCCAGCTCCAGGATCTCGGCCGTCAGGTACTCCAGCACGGCCGCCAGGTACACCGGCGCGCCCGCCCCGACCCGCTCCGAGTAGTTGCCCTTGCGGAGCAGGCGGTGGACGCGGCCCACCGGGAACTGGAGCCCGGCGCGCGACGAGCGCGTCTTGGCCTTGGCGCGAGCCTTGCCGCCCTGCTTTCCGCGACCTGACATGACGGAGGAAAAAGGGCAAACCAGAATAGGGTGAGTTAAACAGAGGTACCCTACTTATAGTCTCTATTGGGCACAAAAATGAAGCTGTGCCATTGGCTAAAATTACAGTTTCACCTAAACCAATGCAATTCTGGTTTTCAACTACACTTTTTTTGATTGAACAGAATTAGTACATGACGTTTACAGAATTCACCAATGAGGTACAGGGTTTGACTCACTGCCTCCTTTGTTTAAGAAGCTGTGAATAAAGAGGACGCTTAGAGCCTCACACTCTTCTTCCTGTTATTTTCAAGTCCATTATCGGCTACTCCCGGCCATGCCCGAGCCCGCCAAGTCCGCGCCGGCCCCGAAGAAGGGCTCCAAGAAGGCGGTGACCAAGGCGCAGAAGAAGGACGGCAAGAAGCGCAAGCGCAGCCGCAAGGAGAGCTACTCGGTGTACGTGTACAAGGTGCTGAAGCAGGTGCACCCCGACACGGGCATCTCGTCCAAGGCCATGGGCATCATGAACTCGTTCGTCAACGACATCTTCGAGCGCATCGCGGGCGAGGCGTCGCGCCTGGCGCATTACAACAAGCGCTCGACCATCACGTCCAGGGAGATCCAGACGGCCGTGCGCCTGCTGCTGCCCGGGGAGCTGGCCAAGCACGCCGTGTCCGAGGGCACCAAGGCCGTCACCAAGTACACCAGCGCCAAGTGAGTCCGCCTGCGGCAGAACAAGCGGTAAGACTCCGCACACACCCAAAAGGCTCTTTTCAGAGCCACTCTGTGTTCTAAAGAGAACTGGCACTTCTTTACCCTGGGTGTTCCTTTGCTGTAAAGAAATAGTATGTGAATTACACGTTTTCACCTGACTGGAAATTAATTACAATGTATGATAAGCTTAAGTAACGCTGGAGATGTATTTATATGGGTTTCGCTCAGGGAGGATCACGTTCATTAACACAAATCGAGTAAGAAAATATTCCTTGTCTCCACAGTAAAAGCTGGTCACCTTTGACAATGTCAGCCTGGCAAAAAGTTACAGTAATGCCTCCAGCGCTCTATCCTTAAATGTAAGGTGTGTTTTATGAAGCACTGAGCACAGGCTAAGGACTGCACAAATCGTTTGTATTCACTTATGTTTCTTTGGGGAAGGGGGATGGTGCTGACTGTCCCCTTGAGTTTGTATTTGCCACATACTAGGTTAGAAAGGCAGCAGGAAAAAAACAAAACAAAACAAAAACCCGAAGAAACTCCTAATTCAAAATGTCCTCGGGCTTCAGTCACATGCCACGTTGGTTGGGGATGTCCAATCCAGACGCTGCGCGGCAGTTTCAAAGTTAGGCACCGGGTTCCCTTCCCGCGTCTGTCCTAATGGGGTTAGGGTGGGCAGCGTGGCTATGCGGGAGGCGGTGCCACTGCACCACTGCTTCTTTTCTCTGAGTGAAATTCCTCTTCGTGGGAAGGATTACACTCTCTCCTACCTTTCCTGGTCAGAAGCCATTCTGTATTTTCTTTCTGTGTCACTTGCATTTCGTGTTGCTATTGGGAAACATTTAAAAAGAAAACTAGAAGGGCAGGGGAAGCGCTGTTCCTTCTCCCCCAACTCAGGAGGTCAAAATCCCTCTCTCCATTTTAAGCTCTCAGGACCCGCACATTTGAAAGTATTTTGGTCTTTGCCGGGAATCGGGGTGGAAACACTTCTCCACTGAATTGTATTTGCTGAAGTTTTTAAATAATACCTTTTATCCAATTCCAGTGCTCCCATGACAGCATTCTACTCCGAGGTGTTTACCTGAGAGTATTCTGCAGGCACTGAACAGGACACAGAAGGATGGACCAGCACTCTGCTAAGCAGCAAAATAGGAAAGGCAACCACATATTCATGGCCAAAAGAATCAACAAATTTATTGAGATACGTTCACTCAGTAGGAGTCCATATAGCAAGAAAAAAAGATTAAAATACACAGTTGTAGTTGGATGAATTTCAGAAACCTAAGTCTCAGAAGGTTCATAGATGATGCCACTTTATACAGCTCTAAAATATATTTCATTTAAGTATATAGAGAAGCACATGTAAGTGTATTATTCAAACAGCTTCTTTAAGAGCTTCATGAATGAGTTTTTGAGAATTAGGAAGTGGATGCCTCAGCGACAGTCACAGCAAGAGGATATAGACAAGAACAGAGGTAAATACAAATTGTTGCCTACATTCTAGATTTAGTGCTAGAAGTTCTATTGTGGGTGTTTGATGCAATTTGTTTTATACTTAAGTTGTATGTTACATATATTCACTTTCTGTATCAAATGTGCTGAAAAATATAGTAGGGAGAGAACCCTTGCATGAAAACAAGTTCCAAGGGGAAATCCCCGGGTGGCTCAGCGGTTTAGCGCCTGCCTTCCTCCCAGGGTGTGGTCCTGGGGACCCGGGATCCTTCCGCCCAGGGTGTGGTCCTAGGGACCAGGAATCGAGTCCCACGTCGGGCTCCCTGCATGGAGCCTGCTTCTCCCTCTGCCTGTGTCTCTGCTTCTATTTCTCTCTGTGTGTCTCTCATGAATAAAGAATAAATAAAATCTTAAAAAAAAAAAGAAGTTCCAAGCATCATCTACTTTGTCATAAAGGAAATCTTATAAAGGAGAATTCCAAATCTTACAGTGTTTCTGTAGACAGAATTTCTTTCAAAGAGCTGGAGAAAAAAGACTGACAGGCCATTAAAAAGGCCTGTGAATTTAGAAAATTCAAGATTTGGGCTACAATTAAGTCAGCAACCCACCTTCTCCAGCTCTTGGTGAACTTTCTGTCTACTCAGCTTTTCTTTGTGACAGTGTGTATGAGGAGATACACACACGAGTGTGTGTATTTTGTGTTTTCTGTATTCATGTATATGTATGTGTGTACATCCCTCCCTCAATTTTATTAGAAAAGTTATACTGTTTAAATATATATATTTTCTCTCCTTCCATCATCTCTTAAGATAGTTGATAGTAAATTCACTATATATTTGGTTCTTTACTTTTCTGAGCATATAAGCCTTTGATCTTGTCCACTAAACCATTAATGCAGAGAATCAACAGCAAATTCTGATATTTCTTTGTTTTACAAAGTGAGGGAGTTGGCAGATAAAAGACCAGGGGAGGGATTGGAAGATAGGATTGAGAAGGATTAAATTAGCTAACCACATATCTATCTTGGGCCTGGAGAACATATGTGTGTGTGGGTACAGGTATAGATAACATTACAGATACAGATAAAGGTATAGGTAGAGGCATGTTTTGGCTATTAGGGACCACCTGAATGACTCACAGTTTTCAGCGGGAAAGATATCTGGAAAGATATGGGGAGGGAGTGGCTGAAATCTGTGCGGAATAGACAAATATTTGCATATCAAGTCCATTATACTACAGTATTTAGAAACTGAAAATTCCTAAGAGAAAAAATAAAAAAGAAACCAAAGCTAGATTTTATGGGTTATTTGTGCTTTGGTGATCTGGGCATCTAACTTTTTGTTGTTCAAAGTATCTTGGTTTATGTCATTGCTGAACAGCCTTGGGAAATTGACTTGAGCTCAGCCAAACCTGGATGTCACTTTACTATTTGATACACTTTACTATTTGATACTGGAATAGCTGGTAGTTTCAATAAATCACACGATTGGCACCAGATATTTTTTGTCATTTTTTCCCTAAAGAACAGTTTTGAGAACACAAAAGGAACAGATTGGAACATCAAAATAGATGAGAGAGTCTTGTTGTAAAGGAGAGATTTTTTTTTTTTCCCAAAGTCAGTTACTTGAACACGGCCTTTGTCCAGCCTAGAGAAATTCATCTTTTCTTCATTGAAAATTCCCTTCTGTGGAGGTTAAACATTAAATAGGTACTGACAAAGCTTAACTCTGTTTTCACTCCTTTCCAGATTCCATTCAGTTTGCCATCCTTGAGTTAGGAAGCTGCATTGGACACATGAAATTAATTTGACCACAACATATCTTAGTTACATTTTAGTTTCTTTAATGTGGAAAACACATCTCATCTTGTCATCCATAACTGTCCAAACCATCTCAACTGTGTATAATTTCTGCAGATGACTAGTTTAACCACTTCCTGATACCTCTTCACTTCTATTTAACTTCTATTTCAGAGGCTTGTCTTTTCTGATGTCGTCACCATATCAGCCTCTTGGGAGGCTTCACGAGTAAAGCAGATGTGTGGTATTAAAAACAACAACAACCCACAATTAAAATGCACAAGGAAAATTTTTGTTCAGATTTGAATAAGAATAAAAAATTTCTATCAACTCCTGCAGAGTTGAACATAAATGTAAGCATTCCTAGGGAGCAATGAAGAGGACTGCTTCAGCTTAACTTGAGTTTATTGAGGGCCTTTTCAGTGCAAAGAACAAGGCTAGGACCTGGGCACGGTAGACTAGATGGATCAAGACCCCGCCCCCTGCAGACTTGTCAGGTGTGCCAGAATTCCTACTGAAGGAAGAATAAAACAAGTGCCTCGACCAAAGGTCTGCATCTACATCGAAAATAAGCAACTCTTGGGACACCTGTGGCTCAGCTGTTAAGCATCTGTCTTGGACTCACAGCATGATCCTGGAGTTCCGGGATAGAGTCCCACACTGGGCTCCTGCAGGGAGCCTGCTTCTCCCTCTGCCTCTGTCTCTGACTCTCTCTCTCTCTCTCTGTCTCCATAAATAAAAAAATAAATAAAGCAATTCTTTTTGATGGAGAAACTATGAAAACCTATAAGGGAATGCTAGAATTCCAAGGATATTAATTTGGGGAAGACCTTCACATTTCAAGGCACAAGGGCAGAGGCTTAGTCCAGGGCCTGCTGCCACCACTGAGAGTAGCAGAGGGGTTGTAACCTGTGTTTATTGACATGCTATGATGTCTGTGCTTGTGTCGCTTAATAAACAAGTTACATTTGGGGGGTTTAATTTATGAAAAGCAGGGGTTCCCATACCTATCATCTCCAACATTCCCAAGTCAAATGTTTCTAGTGCCCCTTTTCCAGACCACTAAGAAGTTAAATTTTTAGACACTCATTAATACTTAAATGCATACATAACTTATTAAACACCATAACTGTTGTGTAAACACAAAATAAGAGACAATTGGGCAGCCTGGGTGGCTCAGGGGTTTAGTGCAGCCTTCAGCCCAGGGCGTGTTCCTGGAGACCCAGGATCGAGTCCCACGTCAGGCTACCTGCATGGAGCCTACTTCTCCCTCTGCCTGTGTCTCTGCCTCTGTGTGTGTGTGTGTCTCATGAATAAATAAATTAAAAAATAAATAAATAAATAAGAGACAATTGTTTTAACAATAAAGGAGATAATTTCAACATATACATTCTTGGGTCCTACACTCAAAAACATAAATTAGAAGTTGGGTATTTGCCTGTATTAGTGAGAAATAGAACCAATAGGGTAGGTGTGCATATATATATATATTGAGAGATTTCTTATAAGGAACCAGTTCATGTGATTAGGAGGCTGACAAAGCCAAGATCTATAGGGTGAGTTGGCAAATGAGAGATCTTGGCAAAGAAAGATCCAGGGCAGCCAATGGCATAGTTTCTGTCTGGATGCCAGCAGCTTTGAGACCCAGGCAGGTTCATGTCTCAGTCTAAATTCAAAAGCAGGGGGATCCCTGGGTGGCACAGCGGATTGGCGCCTGCCTTTGGCCCAGGGCGCGATCCTGGAGGCCCGGGATCGAATCCCACGTCGGGCTCCCGGTGCATGGAGCCTGCTTCTCCCTCTGCCTGTGTCTCTGCCTCTCTCTCTCTCTCTGTGACTATCATAAATAAATAAATTCAAAGACAGGAAAAAGCCAACATCTCAGTTCAAAAGCAGCCAGACATGAGTAGTTCTTATTCGGGAGAAAGCCATTTCATTCCTGATTTCAACTGGTAGAATAAGGCCCACCCACATTCAGGGCAAAAATCTGCTTTACAATTAAGTCTACCAATTTAAATGTTTTGCTGTCATCCAACCCCCCCTCCCCCCCTTACAGAAACACCCAGAATGATGCTTGACTAAGTATCTGGGTAACCCAGGCCTGGTCAAGTTGATGCACAAAATCAGTCATTACAGAACCTACGTATAGAATCATCCTGAAAGCAACAAGGATTGACTCAAATGATCAGACACCATTAATAGACTTACTCTCAGTGATGTGACTTTCTTTTCTTTTTTCAGAAAGTGCCAATAATTCTTGGGGGACATATGAAAAGAGCAAACTACAACCTCAATTTATAAAATGCATTCTGGGAAACCTCAGTGCCTATTGAACTACACACAAACACACACATGCTTCTTTTTAAAGGAGTCAGGGTCTAGGATTGATTAACAGGTTTTTTGCCTTCAGATTTACTGAGACACTTGGAAGTCATACATAACCTGAACCAGTTCTTTGTGGGACATCTAGCATCCCTGGTCTTTTCTTAAATGTCAGCAATGCACCTTCCCCCAGCACTGGGACAGCCTAGAAACAGTTTGCCTGTTTTCTAGAATGTTCTCTAAGGGCCACTATTGTTCTGTGAGAATGCAGACACTGATCATTTTCATTACAGAAGCTACATAATGGAAATGTTAAAGGTGAGAGCAGCTGGAAGGCATCCAAGAATGCTGGAATGTGCTCAGAAATAGTCTGCAATGCTGATGTGTCCATTGCAGAAGAAAAGACCTAGCAAGGCATCAGCCCTGGGTAAGCCAATTGGTCCATGTGTTTAGTTGAACAGTTCCTAAGTCCTTGTGTTGCCAGCATCTGACCTGTGGATGTGTGAACAAGCAGGGAGCCTTAGTGCTGAGATGAGGGGGAGAGCTTCCCTAACCCAGAAGTCCTCTCCATTTGCTGACAGTCTGACCAGCTTTGTATCTGTAGGCACACCAGTCCACTGGCTTTGAACTAAGGCAGCAGCCATGAGACTTAGGTTCAGCTTTATCCCAATGAACAGAAAAGGCACAGCAGGACATTGAAATATGAGTGTTAGTCCACCTCTCTGGAATCCACTGACACTGGCTATATGACCTTAGACCTTGAGAACACATGGAAACTTAACTCTCCTCAAAACACATGACACAGAGGGATCCCTGGGTGGCGCAGCGGTTTAGCATCTGCCTTTGGCCCAGGGCGCGATCCTGAAGACCCGGGATCGAATCCCACGTCGGGCTCTCGGTGCATGGAGCCTGCTTCTCCCTCTGCCTATGTCTCTGCCTCTCTCTCTCTCTGTGGGACTATCATAAATAAATAAAATTAAAAAAAAAAAACATGACACAGAGATATGATGATCCCAGAGAAAGAATGAACTCCCCACAGCCACCTACCACCTCCTAGGGAGGCCTTTACAACAGTGATCTCATTGCAGAGACCTCTAGCCTCCCTCCCCTGGCTACCAACACTGCCTGATACACAGACATATCCTCTCTCTGTAAAATTGGTCAGTGATGGTGAAGAACTCCCCTTCCTGGAGTTAGATGTGGAGTGAGAACATGCTCTGGGAAAGACAAGGCACACGCTGCCCCTGCTTGTCCTGGGATAAGCTATCCCCAAACCTGTTTTTACTTCCTGTTTTCCTGTCCTTACTAC